GAAAAAAATCCAGTAATTCCAAAAAAAATACTTATTAAAATAATTACTTCTAAGTAATTCGGTCTCTATTTTTCATTTTTTTTTTTATTTTATAATCCTTAACCCGAGAATGTAGGTGACGCGAGAGGCGTCGGAAAGCACCCGAGGGCATTTTCATCCCTTCCTGAATAATGGTAATTGTTTGATGGTAAAGCAAGAGTGTGAGTACCATCGATCTTGGTGTCTTCGATGTTAGCCCATACCAGACAACCCACACCCATGAGACACACAGAGACAGCGATTATATGCACCATGCGGTAACGCACACCAAGCACCAGACAGCTCAAGGCCAACGCTACAGGGATGGCGACACAACCGAGCAACTGAAAGCGATGAAAATTTTAAAAAAACTTGAAAAAAATTCAAGCAAGCCCCCAACCTGTATGCTCGTTAGAGTAGTGAACTGGTGAGCAGTGCTCATTAAGGTGTTAGCTTGCACATCTATCAAACAAAGCAAAAGATACCGCCAACCCCTTGCCTTGATTATCGAAATGAGGCCCTTCTCTCCCCTACGAAACGCGAGCCAACTGGTGTAAATAGCACACAAAAACATGTAATGAGGGAAAGATTGGCCGGTTGGTAGCACTGAGGAAGAGCCAGAGTTGATGTAATGAGCCAGTGTGTTTGTTGCACACAAGAGGAGTGACAGGAATTGACCCAAAATTATATTCTGCCAAACACACCTAAAAAATTTTCTATAAGAAAATTAAAGCAATTTTTTACTTTTACCATTTTCCTAATTCGGAGAGATTGGTACCGATTTTGTCGCAAAAACCAACGTCGCCCATTCTGCCATCGAATTATTTGTTTTGATGCGAAAAAGGGCGGGGCACCCCCAACAACCCCATATTTGATTTTTTTAAATTAGCCGCGCAAGCGCCGAGCACACTTTGTACGACAGTAACCTGAATTACCGACAATGTCACTGTTAATTATTGATCGAAAATAGACAACCAACAATACACCCCCTTAGACCCCCTGCAGATTCAATAAAAAAAATTAGTAATTTACAAAAAATCCGGTAATCTATGGTAATTCTATTGTTTTCGGATGTAATTCTGAATTCTAACATTACAACTTTTTTTTGTAATTTTAAAATAATTTCAGTAATTCCAAAAATATTCCAGTATTTCCCATAAATCATCAAAAAAAAAATCCATTTAATTTCAATTTTAGTAATTCCATTAATCCATCGTAATTCTATTGTTTTCGAATTAATTCCTATATTTCTATTGAATTCTTGTAATTAGGTACATCTTAATTCCATTTTAAATTTCGTAAGTTTAAAATAATTATATTAATTTTCAAAAGAATTCCAGTAATTTCAAAAAAATGTTACCAGAACTCATTCCAGTAATTCGATTAATTCATCGTAATTCCATTGTTTTTAGATTAATTCGTATAATTTTAAATTAATTTCTGTAATTACAACTCAATTTCTGTGTTATTATTTTCGATAATTCCAAAAATACTTAGTTTGA